GGTCTATATTGCTTTCTCCCCCCACCCTGCCCACTCCACACCCCTGGACCAAAGGGGAGGGCAGCTGTCTCAGAAGCCTAGCTGAGCTCACACTGGCTTCGATCAATACCCAGCTGACTTCAAACAAACAGCTCAGGAAATCCGGGAACATTATTCTACCACAGCAAGCCAGAGAGCCAGCAGGAAGGGGGGGGGGGGCGGAGAGCCCAGGGGAGGGAAGCTAAAAACAGATCTGGACCCATGGCCAAAGGCAAATGGAAACATTAGGAAGCACTCAGCTGGCTCCCTGGGGACAAGGGAGGGGCCACCGCCAGGACGGCAGCCTGCTGGTCACCTCCAGCCAGATGGGTGTACCTTGTCCTGAGCCGCGCCCGCCCTCTGCCTGGCATGAATCTTCCCTGCTCCTGTTCACATTCCAGTCAACTCCTACTCCTTGGTTCTCCCGACTCACCAGGGAAGAGAAAGCCCTGAGCTTGCCCGTTACAGAAAATGTGACTGTATTTCTGACAGCGGCTCAAATGCGTGTGGCTTTTGTTATGCCCTTCACCCCCTTCTCATTACTGTTATTTATTTTTAGGCTGGGCATGGCTGCACTGGTCTTTAATCCCAGCACTCAGGAGGCAGAGGCAGTCAGATCTCTTGTGAGTTTCAGGCCAGCCTGGTCTCCAGAGCAAGTTCCAGGACAGCCAGGACTACCTAGAGAGATCCTGTTTAAAATAAAACATTTATTTATTTTAGTGTATACGCATGTGTGTGTGCACGCCTGGTAACCAGAAGAGGGTGTTGAACTCAGAACTGAAGTTGTCGCCAGTCCTTAACCACCATGTGGGTGCTGGGAACTGAACCCTGATCCTCACTGGCTGCTCAACCACCGAGCCATCTTTCCAGCCCCATTCTTTTCTTTTGAGACAGGGTCTCTCACTCTGGAGACCAGGCTGGCCTCAAACTCACAAGATCCTCCTGCCTCTGCCTCCAGAGTGCTGGGATTAAAGGCGTGCGCCACCACGCCTGGCATCTCTCATGTACCTGAATATGTGTTGTGTACCGTGTGCATACAGGTGTGTACAGGGTCTGCAAAAGCCGAAGAGGCCATCAGATGCCCTGGAATTGGAGTTACAGATGGTTGCGAGCCACCTTGTGGGTGTTGGGAACCGAGTCTGGCTCTAAATCCCTGGACCATCTCCCCAGCTCCCATCGTTATGTTAAGGTTCTAAGAAGCCCAGCCCTTCGCTGGTGCACTCTGGGCCACACCCACAGCCCCTCCCTCCCTCTCTTTTAAAGGGGGCTCATGGTTTCTTCATATATTCCATTACTGTGACAGCCACGTATCCAGAGGAGACACGGAGACCCAGGTCACAGGGGATGGATTTAGGTCTTGTCCTTCCAATAGGCCAGCAAGCCCTGCCCACCACAGCACCTCCTACCTTGGAACCTTTCCCCTTGGCTTCTGGCCTGTCATTCCAGTCTCCCAGAGGCCTTTGCAGCTAGCTGTCCTCCTCTCTCTGGCCAACATTAGTCCTTTACTTGAAAGGACTGAGCTGTTTCCTTGCTTGGGAGCTGCAGGTCTGTCAGTCTCTGCCTCCACCTCACCCCCACCCCTGCAAGAACCCTTCTCCTTATTTCTCCACGTATGTCAGTTCTGCAAGAACAGAGATGTTTTTCTCATTCGTGGCCGTGTCCCCAAAGCCTAGAACAATGCTCCAGAAATGTTTGTGGCATGAGTGTATAAGTATTTTTTGAGACAGGGCCTCGCGTAGTTCAGGCTTGCTTCAAACCGGCTGTGTAGCCAAGGATAGCTTCTCACTTCCTCTTTTTGGTTTTGGGGTTTTTGTTGTTGTTGTTATTGGTGGTGGTGGTGGTGGTGATAGTCGATTTTTTTGGTTTGTTTCTTGTTTTTGTTGTGACTGTTTTGTTTTTCAAAACAGAGTTTCTCAGTGTAGCCCTGGCTGTCCTGAAACTCCCTTTGTACACCAGGCTGGCCTCAAACTCACAGAGATCTGCTTGCCTCTGCCTCCCAAGTGCTGGGTTTAAAGTTGTTACTGTCATCACCCAGCTGGTTTTGGTTTTTGAGACAGGGTTTCTCTGGCTCTAGCTGTCCCGAAACCAAACCTGACCTAGAATTCAGAGATCCTCCTGCCTCAGCCTCCCTCACCATGCCCAGTTTTCTTTTAAAATTTACTATTGCTGTGTGTGTGTGTGAGAGAGAGAGAGACAGAGAGAGAGAGAGAGAGAGAGAGGTGTGTGCATATGTGTGTGTTCAACATGTATGTGATGTGTGTGAGTGTGGTGTGTGTGTGTAAAGCTCTCGGGTGCTGAGGGCAGAGGGCAGTTTTTAGGAGACCATTCTCTCTCTCCATTGCGGGTTCCCAGGACATCAGGATTCACAAGTACTTTTACTGCTGAGCTGTCTTGCTAGTCCAGTCTGGGACGTTTCTTCCATGTGGAAGAAAAGAGTGGGCCGGGCATTGGTGGCACACGCCTTTAATCCCGGCACTGCGGAGGCAGAGGCAGGCGGATCTCTGTGAGTTCGAGGCCAGCCTGGTCTACAGAGTGAGTGCCAGGATAGGCTCCAAAACAACACAGAGAAACCCCGTATCAATAAAACGAAGAAGGAGGAGGAGGAAGAGGAGGAGGAGGAGGAGGAGGAGGAGGAGGCGGTGTTTATGTTTTTTAGATTTTTTTTTTTTTTTTTTTTTTGGTTTTTCAAGACAGGGGGACAGGGTTTCTCTGTGAAACTGTCCTGTCTTTCCTGGAACTCACTCTGTAGACAATGCTGGCATCGAAACCACAGAAATCCACCTGCCCCTGCATCCTGAATGCTGGGATTAAAGGCCTGCGCCACCACCACCTGACTTTTAATTTTTATTTTATGTGCATTGGTGTTTTGCCTGTCTGCATGTCTATGTGAGGGTGTTAGATCCCCTGGAACTGGAGTAACAGACACTTGTGAGCTGCCTTGTGGTTTCTGGGAATTGAACCCCGGATCCTCTGGAAGAACAGCCAGTGATCTTAACCACTGAGCCATCTCTCTAGACCCTGGATTTTGTTTTTATTTTTACTTGTGTGTGTGTGTGCTTTTGCCTCAGCATATTTAAGGAGGTTCTCTCCTTCTGCCACGTGGGTCCCGGGGATGGAACTCAGGTCCTGAGGTTTGCCAGCAAGCGCCTTTATGCTCCGAGCCATCTCACTGGCCTGAGGAAACATTTCCTGATTCCTTCTTTCCAGGCACCCATCACCCTGCCCAGACTCCGAGCTCCACTTCCTTTACCAAAAATGGCCTCGGTCCTGTGGGAAGTCACTGACAGGCCCCAGGCCAGGCAGGGGGCCACAGAGTAAGTAGAGAGGCCCTTCATGTTGCTATGAGACCTCAAGGTCTTGGAGGGGTGGAGAGAGGCAAAAGATTGACTCTCCCGAAACCAAGCTGACTAATGGCTCTCTGCGACAGAAACTCCTGAAGGGGAATGCACCCCTCCAGCCGGCCCTGTGCTGCCCCCAGTTGGGTCCAAGATCCAGAGGCCAGGTGAGTCCCCAAGCTATGCTCTGTCCTGATGTGACTGGGTCTGATGCCACTATCAGCAGAGCATTCAAGATCCTGTCTCAAAATAAAGAAGTACGGGGTACCGGGCCAGTGGGGGAGTCAGGCAATGTGGTTTTTGGTTGAGCGCTTGCCTGTCAGTAAGTCCTGGGTTCAAGTCCTCAGCAGTTTGTGAAATTAGTGGTGACGAATGTCTGTAATCCGAGCACTTGAGGGCTGAAAGCTGGAGGGTCAGGGGTTCAATGCCATTGTCAGCTATATAATGAGTTCCAGGTCAGCCTGAGCTACACAAGACTTGACCTTATTAATATTATTATTATTATTGCTATTATTATTACTATTAGTCTTCTTCTAATTCTTTTTTTAAGATTTTTTTTTATTTATTATGTATACAATGTTCTGCCTGCATGTGTCCCTGCCGGCCAGAAGAGGGCACCAGATCTCATTGTAGATGGCTGTGAGCCACCATGTGGTTGCTGGGAATTGAACTCAGGACCTCTGGAAGAGCAGTCAGTGCTCTTAACCTCTGAGCCATCTCTCCAGCCCCCAGTCTTCTTCTAATTCTTATTCTTTTTTAAAATAATTTGTTTTATTTTGTGTGCACTGGTGTTTTGACTGCATGCATGTCTGTTTGAGGGTGTCAGGTCCCCTGGAACTGGAGTTATAGACAGCTGAGTACTGCCATGTGGGTGCTGGGAATTGAACTCAGGACCTCTGGAAGAGCAGCCAATGCTCAGAACCCCTGAGCCATCTCTCCAGCCCCCAATTCTTACTCTCTTTACATTACATGTATGTGTTTCCTTTGTGGTGGGGGATATGGCGCATGCCACAGCGTATGTAGGCAGCCAGAGGACAATTTCCAGGAGTGCGTTCTTCCCTTCCCCGTGTGGGTCTTTGGAATGGAGCTTAACTCATCAGGTCTGCAGGCAATTCTTTCTACAAACAAGGTTGGGAGAGATAGTTCAGCAGTTAAGAGCGGGTCCTGCTCTTGCAGACTTAGTCCAGTTCCCAGCTCCTACATCAGGTGACTCACAATTACTTATAACCCCATC